GATGTTTCATTGTAACCCATTGTTCTACTTTATCAGACCTATCCTGCTTCATATCTTAGATTCCATGGTGTTTCTTTTTAACCGTAGCAGTTAAAACCTTGGCTGTGCTTTAGAGGTAAGGATATTTAGGAATTGTCCACATGATTCAATTGGAGTTAAAAAGCATCATAGAATCTGGGAATCTAGCATGGAATTATGTGAAGCAGGGCAGGTTTGATCAAACTAGAGTAGAGTGGTGGGTTAAAAATAAAACATCACAGAATTAAAACTGTACACAAAGTATGTGAAAACAAGGCAGGCTAGATAAGGATGAAATGTGGCAGTTTTTTCCAGCCCTTGCTGCCCATTAGAATTACCTGGGGAATTTTTAAAGATTCCAGTGCCAGTTAAATCAGAATCTCTGGGAGTAGGACCCAGGCATCTGTATAATTTAAATGTCCTCAGATGATACCAGCATGTACCTGTATCCATCACTGTTGCCACAGAAATGCTTCACAACAAACCACTCCAGAATTTAGTTGCTTATAAGGCATTCTTATACTCATGGATCCGCAGATCAGCTTACCGTTTGGCTGCAGCTCACCTTCAAGCTGTGGTTGGTTGGGTTCATGTCTGCACCACATATATTTTGGGCTCAGTGCAATGGGCAGCAGCTACTTGGATATGTTCTTCTTATGGCATATCTCTGGAGTACAAAGGTGAGTTATACTGAGATAGCACATTTAAGGCTTTTGTTTGCGTCAAAGACATTAATATTCCATTGGCCAATTAGCCTCACCTTCACATCAACAAGAATGACTCCTAGTCCCACAGTGGGAAGTAAATAATGGCTAGGGAAGTAAATAATGAAGTGAGGGGAGTAAATAATGGCTAAACAGTAATTATAGTTACACCGCAGCCACCAAGATGGAGAAGCACTGGAGAAGCACTGATGTAGAGGGCCAGAGTGGTTGGTCATCCTTACAAAACTAAGAATAGAAGTATACTTGAGTGAGAGAGCTGGAGAAATGGGAGATGGTTGTCAGAGAGTGGAGTGACAGTATTATTTCAGAGGTAGCTATTTTAGGTGACTAAAAAAAAAATACAGTATGGTTAAGGAAGGTAGATGGATGAGTTTTGAATAGTACTGATGGTTATGGAGGTGGTATGAATTTGGGAAGGTGTTGAATGAGTTATCTACTTAGTAAAGTTGTCAGGATTGAAAAGAAGAAAGCAAATTCCTGCTGAAGCTTTTAACTGAAGCCAATATATGATCTGGAAGAGAAGCCTTCGAGCAGTGTCTCTCACGTAGGTGGTATGCCTCTGCTTCCCAGACGTGTAAGATGAATGGGAGGTGGGAGGTCAAGCAGATGGTTCCCTCATCTTTACCTCAGATATTTCAAAATACTCATCCTTTCTCCCTCCCCCAAAGAATCTGCTGTACTGAGTTACTGTTTTTGGTTTTAGTATTTTAGTATGAGGACATAAAAAAAGATTAAAAACCATGGAGTAATATGACCAAAAAATGGATGTTTTGACAGAAGGGGTAGGAGGAAGAAATCATCAAGAAGTGGCATTGAGAACTACATTAACGATACATTCTGACCCGAGATATGGAAGCTGTTGGAAGAAACACAGCATCTAATGTTGAGAGGACTGTAGAGGAAGCCGTGTATTCAGCCAAATTTCAGTTAAAGCAAGATATAGAAACATAGAGATTAAGGGTCTAGGGGAGTGTTCTTAATGTAACAGAAATGTGGGAGGGAATGCGACAGCAGGAGGTTTGGTTATGTCAGTAGCACACGGATCATACAGGAACAAGAATATGAGGAAGAATATTTGACCAGAGATAACAGAGGTGAAACACTGGGTTTAGCTGCCATAGTTTTCAAAATAAGAAGTCACATTAGACATTGTTTATGGAGCTTTTGAGCATTATTCTCAGCACTTAGCATATTTGATCTCACCTAATCATAACAAACCCAAGAGGTAGGTACAATTATTGTTCCTAGTTTGCAGTTGAGAAAACTGAGGTACAGAATTATTGAGTAGATATTTGAACCTTAGTGAAACTGTAGTATGCTTTTATTAATGCTAAATTTGGTGGTGGGGGGATAGTTGTCAGCAGTTTGGTCTCTAGGGACTGTTTGTGCCTCATCAGATTAGCATTTTTCAAAGACTATTAGTATAAAGTGTTTTTTTTTTTTTTTAAATTAATTTTGAGAGAAAGGGAGCAGGGAGAGGGGCAGAGAGAGAGAGGAGAGAGAGAATTCGAAGCAGGCTCTGCATGAGAGAGACCATGAGATCATGACCTGAGCCGAACTCAAGAGTTGGACACTTGGTGCGCCTGGGTGGCTCAGTCGATTGAGCGTCCGACTTCAACTCAGGTCATGATCTCACAGCTCATGAGTTCGAGCCCCGCATCAGGTTCTGTGCTGACAGCTCGGAGCCTGGAGCCTGCTTCGGATTCTGTGCCTCCCTCTCTCTCTGCCCCAACCCCAGCCCACTTGCATTCTGCATTTGTCTCTCTAAAAAATAAATAAACATTAAAAAAAAGAAGAGTTGGACACTTAACCAACTGAGCCACCCAGGCACACCTAGTTTTTACTATCTCTTTATTCTTTGTGTTTATAGAATAAAATATTAATACTAGTATGTAAGCAGGCTTCATTTGTGCCCAGGTTATGTCCATTTATTATATTCTTGATTTGAACATACACCAGTCTATTCATATATCCTCTTCTGTCACTGCCTGTCCTTTCTGTGCTTAGTAATGCTTTAGTAATTTATTAATTCTAAAGTGATAGGAGAAACTGGGTTACCTGAGAAAATGTGTCCACTTAAAAAGGCTTTCCTCATAATTTGTTCTATAGAAAGAACTTTCATATTCTCTGTAACACAATGGCTTTTATGCAAATTTGGTAGAAAAGCAAAGGTCAATCTAGTCCAAGTTCCCAAAATAAAGTAAATTTCAAGAAACGTAAAGAGAACAGGATTAGTTGTTGGCATTTTCATGATTTATTTTTTTCTTCATTGATCTGAGTTTTACTTTGTTTTTCATTTTGAGAAATACCCACTTAGAAACACTTGGGTGTTTTTGTTTTGTTTTGTTGTTTTTTTGTTTTTTTGTTTTTTTTTTTTAGTAGTAGCTATAATAAATGGAAATAAGATGGTTTTGTGGATGTATATATTCTGGGATTTAGTATGCAAGTATTGTAGTAACAGGTTTTTCTTATATACACAAATAATTTGTCTGGAGTGATTTTGGAACTCAGTTTTTTTCCCTACTTGAATCTAATTAGTTTTAAGGAGATTGTTAGGTATTCTTAAGTGTTATTTTCAAGATAGCTGATTTAAAAAAGAAAATACACAGCCTAACCTTTTTCATTTTTCTTCCACAGCCTTTGTTTAGTACCAGTCACCCTTTTACTTTCCAATTGTTCTAAGGCTGATGTTGATGTAATAGTTGATCTTCGGCATAAAACAACAAGGTAAAGATGTATTTAGTGCAAGATTGTTTTGTGGCTTAAGATTGATTTGAGAACAATTTAATTATGGATATAATTACCTAATGTGGATGGAGAAAGTTTATTCAGGCGTGCCCTGGGTGTTTGGTTTTACAGAAATGTTACAGAAGACTTACAGAGGGTTGTCTCAGCATTTCAATAGTGATAAAATAACAAGCAGTTTCCAAAAGCAGTGAATTGTTTTGATTGGAGACAGAATTTTTCAGAAAAGTTTGTTGGTGATAAAAAACTCTAAAATTGAATATCAGCAAGTTTGTGATAGAAGTGTTTTTAAGGTTTTTTTTTTGTGCGTGTATGATTGTAAAATAATACTTACCCAAAAACACAGGTACATACTTCCATATCTGATACCTCAAGGCTAGATGCTTTTTGGAATTCAGAAATTTTTGGATTTTTGGAAAAGTAATATGAAACGTGAATGGATTACTACTGTATAAACACTCCAAATAGGATCTGGGGCAGCTGTATGGAATCCAGACATGTCCTATGTATGATTATGTGTGTCATAAATTAATGCCTTATTGGTAGATACTGGGTTCCATTTTTCAGCATTATAAATGGTTTCAGTATTATAAGCATTCCTGTATATGATTTTTTTTTTTAGGTACAGATAACCAATTGGTTAAAAGCTGAGGTTTGAAATCAGGTTCCATTATTTCCTACCTGCTGTTGTGAGCATTAAATGCAATAATGCTTGTGCCTAGAACATAGTAACTATTAATAAATGTTGACTATTAGAGCAATAGTAATACTAGCTGTTTTCATTGTTGTTATTAAGAAACAGTTGGCTTCATGAAAAAGTTTCTAGAAGTAGAATTGCTAGATGAAAGGGATGTGTTACTGAGACTTGGGGAAAATTTTTATAAAACCCTTCAACTTACCATTTTCCTTCTCCCACATAGTCCAGAAGCATTGGAAATCCATGGATCATTTACATGGCTTGGACAAACACAATATAAACTTCAGCTTAGAAGCCAGGAGATTCACAGTTTGCAGCTGAAGGCATGCTTTGTCCATACAGGTGTTTATAACCTTGGAACACCTAGGGTATTTGCCAAGTTATCGGACCAAGTTACAGTGTTTGAAACGAGTCAGCAGAACTCCATGCCTGCCCTGATCATCATCAATAATGTGTGATGACTTGCAAATTTGTACTGAAATCCACAAGAATCAGTTTTATTTTACTGAATGGGTTTTAACAGCAGTATTTGTTATACCTAACTTGTTATGGAGGTTGGTGTCGGGTCACTGCAAAATACTTTCAACTTGTCAATCTGTTGATGATGTCAAAGCACGTTGGACTGAGAATACTCATATTCTTTTTTTGTATTTCTTTAAACCCTGGTAATAATTTACATGCTCATAATACAGAATTTCAACATAGCCACGCACCTTATTAAGCCCTGTCTTAAAAACCAGTGTCTAAGTCTGCTGTTACAACATATTGATGGTATATGAATATTACCAGATGATTTTGAGGAAGGAAAGGCCTTGTTGGTGATACTCTTGTTAAGCCATTAGTCAATAAATTCCAGCTTTACTGTGAAGTTCTATAGAGTGTTAAATACGGATTTTCCTGTGTTGCTTCACACAATTCTCTAAAATACATTTTGAACTTTGGTTATAGAGTCTTCATACTTCAGTATCTGGTGGTTCCTATGGCTTATACATAACTTTGTAAAAAGAAAAAAATTTTTTCTGATGCTTTGAATATAGTTTTGAAAGGAGTTTGACTTTTTTTTCCTCATTCATCTCAGTATAGGGTGCACTATTTCACAATATGAGATTTTTTGTCATTTAAATTATCATATTCTTTATTATGTAACTTTAACATTTGAGTTGATCTGTTTAAAATATGAATCTCAAGTTAATTAAAAATAAGCTTTTCAAAAATGTATTATATTTATAACAAATGTAAATAGAATAAAGACATGCTATTCACTGTATAGATTTATTAGATGCCTTTTTTTAATTCTGAGGACATCATATAGTTTTTATTTAAAATGAATGCTAACCATATTAATTATAGCAGGACAAACTAGTTTCCTGAGAAAGCCTTGTTTCCAAACATGAAGTACAAGGCTTTGTTCCAGTAGTCCTTGGTGGCCATGTTTACATGAGCAAACAAATTTTGTCTGTAAATATGTCATGTCTGACACCCAGTTACAAATTTGGAGAATTCTTTAATATCCTGGGAGAAAGGAAGATCATGCCTACTGAACTATTGAAAATAACCACATTGCAGACTCTGATGCTGGGTATGGTAGACGAGGTGATTAGCCTTCCTGCTGAAGAAAAGTAGACTCTAGACAAAAGAGAAGAAAACCTCTTACAAAAAACAAAGTGTTAACAGTATAGTCAGTTATTAGTGAACCAAAATCTAGAAGAAAGTCTAGAGGGGAGAGATCAACATTTGAGGCTACTTTGCCTTGGGAGTGTTTATCTACTTAGGAAGAAACAGCCGATGCACAGAGCCTTATGTTTGACATATTTTGAAACAAATACAGGTCAGGAGAAATCATCGGAACTTCTGAAGCAAGGAGACAGTATTTGGAAAATAAGCACAAGAAACTAAGGGACCTACTGGGTTCAGTGAGAAAATTTTATGTTTATCTGGAGTCCCAGAAGGAGGAGAGAGAGGGTAGGGCAGAAGTGGTATTTGAAGAGAATCTCTGAGAATTTTCCAAGATGAACACCAAATTACAGATTCAAGTGGTTTAGTAAATCCCAAACAACAGAAATATAAAGAAGCCTATATCTGGATGCCACGTAGTGAAAATGCTGGGAATTAAAGAAAAGGGGAATACAATCTTGAATACAGAAGACAATTGGTAGCATAACTGATAGCATACCACGGAATAAAAATAATGGAAATCAGAAAAAGGGGGGGGTATCTTCAAAGGGCTGAAAGAAACTAACTGCTAAGCCAGAATTTAAACTCAGCAAGAATACTTTCAAGAATGGAAATGAAGCCTATTTTAAGACAAAACCAGAGAGTTTATTTCCAGGTGGCCCTAGGATAATGATGTCTACCTAAATCTTCACCTTTCCCTTCATTCTGCAATTAAGTATACAAATCAAGAAGAGCAAGTGAAGCCGCACCCAACTCCTACCTTTAGCATAACTAGACAGAGAATACTGCTAATTTGAAATTATCTGTACATGGAGAATCTAGCACTGAATTGCAGCAAACTGTCTCAAGCATCTACTACAAGCCTTTGTAGAGAGTGGAGGTGGGGAAGACAGGAATCCAGAAGGAACTGTGGAAAGGAGCCAAGAGAACACAGGGGTTAAGGGCCAGCTGAAGTCCCTCTCAAACAATGTCTACCCTCACTGCAAAAGTACTCAGCAAGAGGGGCACCTGGGTGGCTCAGGCGGTTAAGTGTCCGACTTCGGCTCAGGTCGTGATCTCACAGTCCTTGCGTTTGAGCCACGCGTCAGGCTCTGTGCAGACAGCCTGGAGCCTGCTTGAGGTTCTGTATCTCCCTCTTTCTCTGCCCCTCCCCTGCTCACGCACTGTCTCTCTCAAAAATAAACGTTAAAAAAATTTTTTTAAGTACTCAACAGGAGATCTGGCAGATGGAGCTCTGATAGGCTTTGCAGTGGGGTCTCTTAGGAGCAGCAAGAAACAGGGTCCATTCATCAGGCAGCTAAGGAAACGGGAATAACCTTATCAGTTGGCTACTTAGGAGAGTATTGAGTATTATGAGGCTTGTGCAGCTCAAAGAACTTACAATCTCAACAGAAATTTTTTAATTAAGTTTCACGCCCTTAGGCCTGATTTCCAGAAGACTCCATTAAAATGCAAATAACCTGTGAGTGCTGTAATAACCAAATCGATAAGATTCGTCAGGCTGCTTGTAAGAGCAGGTCTCGGCTCCTGGTGGCATGGGACACAGGAACAGTGCCTAGAAGGAAGGTGAGGAGTGCTGGTGGGAGGTGCAGGGGTGGGGGCGGGGATTGGAGGAGCCAAAGAGAAACTTGATCCATCTCATGCTTTTGCTAGGGCCAGCGCTGTTTGATAATATCCCATTGCTTGTTTCCAGGGTTATTGGGCTGTAGTTTGGGGCCTCAGAAGAGTTTGCATGTCCTGTGTTTCCCCCCTCCTCCCCAGGTTTCTGTTTTGATCTTTAAGCTGTGATAGAAGTCAGCTTTACTAACCAACAGTTTGCACTTCCTTAGCTGTTGAATTAATTATGCTGTACTTGGTGGGAGGAAGGGACACATCTGAGACTTAGATGCTTTTGTGAAAGGCACCCCCCTCCCCAGTTCATTTTTTGCATTTGAATGGTATGTGTTAGTTCAGCAAACATTCCAGGCGGATTATTTCAAGGCTATTATCTGTTGATTAGAAAGTCTGGTTTCAAAATAACTTACTAACCAGAGGAGAGGCTCATTTGACTGGGACCGGCAACTCCCAGAATTTTACCACAAAACCCTGATACACGCAGTAAAGGAAGAGGAAGAGCTCTTTCCAAGGCTGGCCTCTGTAATTGAAGGAGGACGGGCTGTGGTGTGGGCCAGAGGGAGCCAGGCTCGGCCAAGTCTGAAGCAGGTGGAACCTCAGCCCCTGTGCTTTCGGCGGTTGCCACAGTTTATTCTAGTATGTATCCCAGCAACCTTCTAGGGGGAACTGCACAAAAGTGAGGAGAGATCAAAATACCTCATTTTCCAGATTCAAGAACTTTGAAGATTCAAAACCTGGCCACAGAGCAATTTCTGTTAGGGTTGCAGGGGGGCGCCTGGGTGGCTTAGTCAGTCGAGCACCTGGCTCTTCATCTAGGCTCAGGTCAAGATCCCAGGGTTGTAGGATCAAGCCACATGTTGGGTTCCGAGCAGAATGTGAAGCCTGCTTGAGATTCTCTCTCTCCTGCCCCTCTCCAGTCGAGCACATGCTCCCTCTCTCAAAACAAAACAAAGCACTTCTGGGTCTTAGGCTACTGCTCATCTGTTCCTGACTCTGCATTCAATGCCGTCTTGCTCTGGTGAAGTTTGAAATTATCCATAGTGGGAATATTTACCCCAGGGGCATCAGATGCTACACATTAGGACTTGATGTATTGATGTTTGCTGTTTAGTTCTCAGAGAACAATGGGGAATATAATAATGTAGGTTAAAAGTGTTGCATTCAGGTAGCTGTTACATTATGAATAGCACAAATATTTGAGGAAATATCCCTCCAGAATCTGAAAACTATTATCCAGATCAGCAAAGAAGTTGCTCATGTCATTGATGAACAGCATCAGGTGAGGACCCGGCATGGCATGTCTTCTCACTTTCCTCTTCCTCAACGTAAACAAAAATATCAACCAACACTCATATTGGAATTACTTTCATTTGTTGATTGCAACATAAGTTGGTTGTGTAAGAGTTTGGCAAAACTCAACAAAAACCTTCTGTGAGGATCAGTGAGCTATATAGAATTTATAATACAGAATATTACATATTTTATTATTTGTAAATTGTGCTGCAAAGACTTGATATCTGCTTAGAAACTTTTTTCCTGTAAGTTGATAAACATTTACCAGCAGACCTCAGGGTATGGGCATAGACATAAAGAAGTTCTATATTATAGTTAGCCAAGAGCTAAGGTGTCTTATGGAATATTCCAGACGTTAGGACTCAATAGGGCAACAGTTCTCAAACTGTATGGGCATAATCATTGGTCACTACTAAAAGTGGAATTCCATACACTACTTCCCTAGAAATCGATGGTCTACCTGCCTAGACCAATTTTGTTGGTTTGGTTTGAGTGTGGAATCTTGTTTTTGTTGTTGAGGTTTGTTTGTTTATTGTTTTTAAATCTTGTGGTTTGGGGCACGTGGGTGTCTCAGTTAAGCATCTGCTCAGGTCATGATCTCACAGTTTATGAGTTTGAACCCCACATTGGGCTCTGGCTGACAGCTCAGAGCCTGGAGCCTGCTTCAGATTCTGTGTCTCCCTCTCTCTCTGCCCCTCCCCTGTTCTCTCTCTCTCTCTCTCAAAAATAAATAAACATTAAAAAAAATTTTTTTAATCTTGTGGTTTTTAACAAGTCCTGAAGCTAATGAGGGGGCCTGTCCACCACACTTTAGGAAACATTGCTTTAGGGAGCCTGCAAAGCACTGTTTTTTTTATCAAGTTTGTTTCTATCTAAT